ACAGAAATGGACCCGTTCTGGAAGAAAGGGTCGATGCACTTAAAGCAGCAGATGACATGAGAGTAACGACGTTGTACATCCTTGGCAGCTGAAGAATTAAGCTGAATCATAGCCCCTAAGTATTGAGCACAATCTTCCAGTTGGATAAAGATGAGAATTGGGGGGTCGTCGCTTACTTGTGTCGGATTGCAGGAGGAGCAAGTACATGGTAAGGAGGGGTCTCCAGGAGTGAGACCTGCGCTCTATGATTGATGGCTGATAGGCGACATTTGTCCGCGTTTAGGAGCAGGCCACTCAGCTTCGAAGAAACTGGAGTATATGGAATAAACGGTTAAGGGAAAGAGCCGTGCCGGATAAGAGCAGGGTGTCGCCCGTCTTCGGGACCACATAGATCATAGAATTTCTCCTTTTCACTGTGGATTGCGTGCCGATCGCTCTACTTCTACTCCTCCTGTTTTATTGTTTGAAGACTATTGGAGTTGCACGAGAGACATGGGCTCTCTTTTTACATGTTGTTTCTTGACTGTGCACAGGCTTTTGATACGGTTTCCCATCATGCGCTAGGCAACTCCCTTTACCGTATAGGAGACCCTCAGCACTTTATCGACGCCATTATGATAATTTACTCCATGGCTAAAGGTCAGAGACTCCGGCATACATTCCCCGATGCATTCGTTCCGCAGGGGGATACGCCAGGGTTGTCCCCTCTCCCCCTATCTCTTCATTATCGTCCTCTCTGTCCTCTTCGAGGACACATACAAGGAATTTTCTACACAATTTGGTTCTCGCCTTTTGGTTTTTTCACATGATTCTCCACTTACAGACATCGAGTATGCTGACGTGAAGCATCGCAGCGTAGATTTTGCAAACTATGTAAACTGTGTTGACTAGGGATACGGGGCGATAGCTGGAAGGTTGTCAGGGATCCTTCTCCTTGCCCTTGAATATCATTATCACGTGTGTACGGCTTCACGTGGGAGAAGAGGCCTGCGTGCAAACTTGACTATAGTGGCCCAGAAAGAGAGTAGACGAAGATGTCTAGGTGCGAAATTCCATAATTCGACGGGAGCGTGATCCAGGCATAGCGCCCTCTTGTGTTGCATTCTGTGTAGAGCAAGTCCAGTTCAGACTCGGCAAAAGCGGACAGAGGTATTTCCGCCTCCGGGTGAACAGGTTGGTCCGGTAGTGGATGAATGGGGCGTCGCGCCTTCAAACCATGGGATTGAAAAAACTGCCTTTTGAATCAGGCCGGGTCAGCACCAAAAACTCAAAAGCTGACGTGATGCCCCGTGTTACGCTGTTCCTGGCCATCAGAGCACTAGGTCCCTGCGAGGACACCAAGGTAGAGCCGGCAGGGAAAACAACAAGTTTCATGTCCTTCTGGCAATGAGCAAACAAAAATGCTGACAACCCTCTTTCAGATTCAAACTCTCAAAAGGTGTCAGCACGAGGTTGGTTCGGTTTTGTCGTTGCTGTCATTTTATGTCTAAGCCTTCCTGAGGCATTTGGCCACTAGGCCAGCACCCCTCAGCATGTCGGCCACTTCTCCTCACTTGTCCAGGCTGGAAAATGCAGATTGATTTGCTTGTGACGTTCCATCAACCCGCCCTAACCGGAATCACGTCCCAGAATTGCACATGCCCGCCATCCCTGCCGCTCGCTACCCAGCTGGCCGCTAAATCATCAAGCACGTTTTAGGACGGCCTGCAGCACTGCGAGCTACTTGACACCAGCAAATGGGGTTGCCAGTCTTGACCTCTGTTTTACGCACAATGAAAGGCAACATGGGGGCAACAACAGACTCTGAACATCTTGAACTCAGAGCCGCCACACAAACGCAAAGCCCAGGACGTTCGGGTAACCTTGGCAGTTATTGACGCAGCGTGAGGTTGTACAAAGCTGCCCTTGAAGCCTTGCCTGGTTCCAACCGGTCGGCTGCAAACTTCTTTGGCTGGCCTCAGTTTGTGCGCAGAATCACCGAACCATTGTTATACATCATTGTACATCTTTGCGGCCATGGGTGGGATAGACGGCGTTGTAGCCGGCCGGTTGCCTCTCAAGCCCCGCTGCGAAAGCACCCAAGCATCAAAGTCGGCCATTACAAGTTCGGAAGGCTCATCAATGGGCCTTGGGCGAAGGCCCATGAACTGTCGCCATGCCGCATCATCACCAAGCCTCTCAGGTGTGAACGGCCTAGGCATGTCAATGAGACCTCGTTGCCGAGGCATCGGCGAAGCCGTGTGCTTGATAAGTTGATTCTGCGATGGATCCTGCTGCCAAACAACCTACTCACTTCTTGCATGAGACATACGTTAGTCAACGCGGGTGCTCAAAGCCCTGCTTGTTTTTGCGTTCGAGCATGTTCCAGTTCATCTGCAACCCTGGAGCCGTCTTTTCCACACAATTCCAGTAAGCGTAAACCTTCCCTGAAAGGATGCGCTGGCGTCTTGCTCCCAGGACATCGCAAGTCATGCGTTGGATCACATTCAGCCTGTGATGCCGATAAATTCGGTCGAAATGACCTCAATTGCAAGCACAAAACAACCTGTAGCAGCTGGGTGTTTCAACGCCCTGCGCGTCAGATTCAGACATCTCTGAAGATGTCCATCCAGCGGCACTGAAAGTAGATGAAAAATCGCCTGGTCAAAACTGTGGCAAAGAAACAGTCACATCAAGTGCTTTCATCCGTCGCGTCCTGCGCGGCCCTGAGCGCTTGCAAATGTGCGGACCTGAATGGAAGAACAAGCATGGGCTAAGATCAAGTTCAGCTGAGGCAAAAAATGGGACAAGGCGCGCATGCTGCGCCTTGCGCGATGAGTAGCTGTTTGTCCTGGATCGCACGAATGAACGACGAAACCGCCATGTCTGCCATGGTTCACTGAAAGTCTGCGCAGCCTGTTTACCATGGGATTAGCCAGCGTGGATGTTTCACTCGCCGCTGCTCCCTTGTGAGGTCGCAATGCTTTTAAAGCAATTCCTGAAGCTCATGAACCAGCGGTGGAGTTGAAAGTGCACTTAGTTACAATGGAGTCAGCAGGCGCATTCGGCCTCGTTGCCCCATGTCGGCAAAGGATATCTTGCAAGATCTGACATTGGCTTTCAAGTCAACTGCGGGGACTTGGGGTAGCAGATCATCCCAAGTCTTGATCGATTTCTTTCATCTTCTTTTCCATTCAATCTATTGTAATCCTTATCAACTACCAAGACTATCGTGTTGTGGTTAGCTGGTGGCAAGCTGTCTCTGCTCGCAGCCTGGCTTTTGCGTTTGGCACCAGCCATGTTTGCCCAGCCAAGATGTTGGATCTTCGTCGCTCTCTGCAACGCGGTATTCCTCTATCAGATTCTATGAGGATTTGGAAGCCTTCAGATTCCTGTTTTGCCCCGCTGTGGAAGACAAAGGATGCTGTTCATGTACATGCACCTGCAACACCAGGGAAAGCCCATCTACGGACCCGTCATACTCGAGGCCTGGTTGAAAATCTAAAAGCGTTGGGCTTGCTTTATCAGCATGTCTGTGTAAAGAACAGCTGCCTCACGGAAGAATGCCTGTCACTGTTGACTGTTCAGCTGGCATCTGACATTGACGCTCGGGTTGCCACACTTTGAAGAAGGAGGGTCTGAGCAGGCCAGCACGCAGTCTTGCACGGGCAGCCTCTTGGTGCGACATCACATGTTGGGGGTATCATAGTACAGCAAGCTTTTACTACTCGAACTTGCTGGCTGCATGACTTCTCTTGGCTATAGTCAACCGAGGATCCTTTGCAGGTGGTTTGCCAGCACTTGCAGTGAAAGCGGAGGCTGCACCTGTCCAAGCCAAACTTTGTTCTTACAAGGTCCTCTAACACGGAGCATGCGGTGCCTTCCTAATTTCTTGTGGCTCCACCCTTGATGCTTGATCCTGGCTCCCCTTGCCTCAACGCTGTGCGTCAGTGCAGCACTTTAATGTAATGGTCAGGAGCATGCAGTTTCATGCTCTTCCCATGAGCTAGGCCCACTGCTGCCCTGTCGCCTCGTGCCCTGTCAATGCTGGAGGATTAGAGCTGGGACTCCACCATGCCTGAAGGTGAAGCCAAGCTGCTGATGCGCCACTGCTCGGCCTGGAGGTGGGGACCTGCAAGAGTGAGAGATTGGGATGACCAGCTCAAATGCCTGTCTGGACCTCTATCACTGGAGGCAGAAGCTGCTTGAAGGCAATCCCTCCAGGCTTTGGCTTAACCAATACCTGTTCCGGAGCATGCATAACACATCATAAGCCTATAGTATCCAAACGCATCCTAATGCAGGATGCAGCAGCCTTTTCTTCTAAGATGTGCAAGTGCCGAAGACGACGTCGTATGATAAACGCTCTCCCGTTCTGCTGCAACCTGATTCCATCAGGCACTGCGCAGGAGCCTTCCAGAGTGTGGAGCAAAAAGAGAGCATAAGCCTGCCACTTAACAGCATTCTGATTCCGCAGCATTGCTTCATGCTGCTGGATGGTAGCTGCCTGAACAGCAATGAGGCCGTAAGCGTGTTATTATGATGAGGCATCACAGGAGCATGCAAGTCCATAAAAAAGAGCCCCCGTTTCGGGGGACTAAACTGACCTGCTCACCTTGCGTACATCAGCACATTCCACCAGGAGCGTGCATGTAGCACGCACCAAGGAATCCGTAACAATCTATCACAACTGATCTATGCAAGGTTTCAGACATGCAAGGCTGAGATGACTAAGGCTCGAGCTGCATCACCCTTCTTGGACTTCATAGACGTACTTGCGACCTAATTGCCAACATGAAAACGGAAAGCTCAAACGTGCTAGGCATGCCATCTGATAGCTACCGTCCCGCAGAAGAATGCTTGCAGGTTGGCTAGTCAATCATGTGAACTGCAGTAGTGCCTGTCGAACTTTTCTTCATTGCCGACGGTCACGATCAGGGATCCCCGGCCCGTTTGAGCCTTTAGCATCCTCACCCCTGGATGCGCTCTTGCTGATGGCTATCAAAGCCTCAAGGCTGACATCACGGCATCATTTGATTGATCATCACCATCTTCAACTGGGCCGTTGTTGCAGCAGATGAATTTCGCAAGCAATACTCCTGCCCCGGGCGGATGACAAGGGAGTGTCCTGTTGATAAATCAATGACATCCAAGTCAACTGCCGCAGTGAGGGTTCCAGGCTCGCAGGAGACCACGAAGATGAGAATCGATTTGCTTGCTGCGAGTTCCTCCGGTGTGTTGAAAGAGCGCGGAGGGATGCGAATGTCACAACACATCCACTTGCCATTCTCTAGTCCGACTCTGATCCCCACAGCATGTGTGGAACCTTCGGCTGTTGGGACTTCTACAAAGCCGGTAGGTGTTCTCCTGGGCAAAGCTCGTTGCGGCACTTCAGCTGTGAGAGCAGAAGCTGCTGCAGCACTTGCAGCTTTGGCTGCTAGCTCCACGCGGCGCCTAGGGCGCCTGGCTTTAGCAGCTTTGGCTTGCTGCACTGGTTCTGCTGCATTCTCTTGGTCCAGCCCTCCTGACTTGAACGAGGTGTCGGACATTTTGCTGGTGCTGCATGGGCTGAAGGCATCATCGAACCTGGCTGTCAATCCTATCGGTATGCGTTCCTGGGGTTCATCTCCTGGTTCGCACGGCTGAGCGACAACAACTCCACAAACTGTGGGCATGGTTGATCCACGCACCCTCTCGTACAGAACACGTTCATTTCGCCAGTGTTCGAGCACACGAATTTGATGGCGACGAGGCCTGCCCTGCTGATTTAGGCACTTGAGCTTATCCACACCGACTTTGACCAAGGAAAACGGGCTCTCCTTGGCAAAGTTGAGCTTCTCTGGAGCGGCCCGCTTGCGCCTGTGAGCAACTGCCTTTTCGGGCGTGGTCTGTTGCCCTTTTTCGATCATTTCTGGCGGGGGTGGTGTCGTGATCTGATCTTGGTCCAAATCTGGCACCCCAGCAGCGAAAGAAGGTGAGCGGGCTCTGAGAGGAGATCGAGGTGGTGACTTGCTGTCATTAACCTGGGTCTCATGGGGAACCACTCCATGAAGTGCAGGCACCACCTCTGGCAACTCCTCAGGGATCGTTGTGTCCTTCACGGATTCAGGTGCAGGAGGTAACCCTGCTTGGCTATCCTGCTGGACTGCAGAAGCTGGAATCGGGCCACTAGATTTTGAGCCCACCGCAGGTACTTCCTGGCTGATCTGCGCTGGTCCTTGCGAATCTGCACGCATAGCAGGCTCAGTAGGCTCTGCGGGAGCAATGCCTTGGCCACCTCCTGTGTTTGTGACTGCGGCTGGAGGCATGCGGCCAGCTGTGTGTGCTTCTGCTCGGACAGGCTGGACAGGCGCCTGCAGCGATGTGGCTTGCGGCGGCAAGGCTGATGGGACTGGCGGGACTGCCGCAGCGGGCTGCGCTGGCCAAGGCGCTTGCCAGGTGGCAGGAGCAGCCATCGGCCCTTGAGTTCCCCATGGCCGTGCAGGAGGCATACCAGTCTTGGGCAAAGCCTGCGGTGGCGGAGCTATCCCCACTCCAACGAAATCTCTTTGAAAGGGAGGCCCTGCATGGGCCGAGCTGGTGCACATGTAGGGTGGCGGCTGCGCACCCTGAGTGATACTAGGTGCAGCCGGCAGTCTCGCTGCAGGGGGCACCCCTGCCTGCACTGGCATTGATGCCACATGTCCTGGGCCAGGTGCCACAAAGCCCAGACTGGGCGTGGCCATGCTGCTCATTGACAACATGCCGCCAGTTGGCAATGCTGGCTGAGGGGGCATTGGCCCTGAAGTTCGTAAGTCTTGAGGTGCATCGCTGAGCCGATGTCTTCCTGGCCCCTCAGTTGCCGAAGTTAGGCCTGCGTGTTCACTGCCGGTGGCAGGAGGTATCCCTGCTGTAGCAGCAGGTGTTGGCACATCACTTGCGCGAACTGGATTTGAAACGTAGGTCCTGCCGGGCTCTTCTGCAGGCCTTGCGTCACCAGCAGTGCAAACTGAACTTGGCACATGTCGCGTTGGCATGGCAGCCACACCTTGGGCTGCATCTGCTCGAAGAGGAGCTTGGCTTGGACATGGCACAGGTCGCGAGGGCTCGTACCTCCTCTCAGAACTCGGCATGTCCACTGATTCGGTAGGAGCAGGGATGCGTGGCACCCCAGAGCGAGCCATCCGCAGCTCCTGCGAATCAGGAAAGCATGGGATGGCCGCATACTGAACGTCTCTCATGGGCCGAGGGGGTGGCTCAGTCACGCCCATCAAGGCAGGAGGTGCGGCTGGCAAAGCATCCAATCGCCTTGTGCCACCTTGTGCAGGCATCACTCTGCCAGGACCCCCAGAACTTAGCGGGCAGGGGAACGAGGCCATACAAGGCGTCCCGTGCTCACAGCTATCAATGCTCGTGTCTAACGGACGGTCACTGTGAGCCTCACGAGGATGCTGGGCAGGTTCTGCCAATGGCTCATCCACTGATGACAGCCGCAAGGGTACATAGTAATGGCCATCACGAAAGAAAGATGCCAACGAGTCCATGGAATGCTCCGTGCAGGGTGACGTACCCATCAAGCTGTCCTCCATAAGATTTCGTGACTCGCCAAGGTGCGCATCACGATCATTCTCCGGGATAGTAGCTGCATTCAACCGGCTTCCACGATCACGTGCCTCCCTCGGTGAAAGGGATCTGCGTATGGTGCGGAGAGGTGAAGGCATACTTCGCAAGTGCCCGCTGAGCGGAGACCGTGCTTGCATTCCGGATGCTAGCCCAGCTTCGATGTCAAGGGGTGGAGGAGAGCCTGGCACCCGGCACTTCTCACGAGGCGTCATAGCAGGGTCCATCTCTGTCGGGGCAATCTCATCAGCATGCATGTCTGGAGCTGCACTTGGAGATGCAGCTTCCTCAACCCCTGCATGTATCAGGCCTGTGTGGCCTTCCTCCGAGGAACAATCATCCACATTTGGCGATCTCACAGCAAAGTCGATGCTGGGGAGTCCATCAGCTTCAAGCCGGACACGAGGCCCGGTTGGCATGGCCGCGGTGCCCTTGCTAATCGAGCGCACTGATGGCAGCTTTGCGGCCTCACATTTAGATGCCTACCCTGGAGCAAGATGCGGCAAGACAAACGTTGCATCACCACTGTTGCACAGAAAGCATGATGCCAACTGTGCTCAGAAATGCATAGTAGGGCGCAGGGCCCCCTTCCAGGGCTCGCACTTTCTTTGATGTCATTGTTTCGCGCGCGGGCCCTTAGCATAACCCAAAAAATATCTTCCATGTCGCGTTTGCATGGTCCAAACATGTCAAGCCCCAGCAGCCTGCTTGTGGCACTTGCCACTCTGCACTGCGCAATTGTGTGCTTCTTATTTGGGTGTGGGTTGTCACTAGAACTCTCCACTCCTTTGTTGTTTGTGGGCTGCCCTGCTCAATGCACATGCAAATTAGTATGTTTTGCTTCTGTACTCTGGCAAGCTAAAACATTGAGCACTGCATTTCGTTGTCAGACTGAACATGCTACCGTCAAAATGCTTCGCTCCGCCTTGTTGGCAAACAGCCGCTGTCGCTGCAGATTCTTTTTTCGACAGCACGCTGGCTTGGCCTGCTCCACTCGGATCCTTTATGTTGAAAGGGAAGTGCACAGCCACTCCACCGGCCCTGCTCACGTGGTCATCCAGTCACCTGGCCATCCTGCGTTTCCCCTGCGCACCTTTCTGAATCTATTTGACTGTTGAACCTCCTTGTTGAAGATTTCCTGGACATCTCGGTCTTCTTGGCACGCCAATTGCAAATCCGAGCTTGTTACAGCCGGACAAGAATAGCAGTCATGTCCTGTCGCGAAAACCAAATCAAGAGCCACGGGCGTTTGTTTCTGACATGGTGCAAGCAATATTTGCCGGAATCGCATCGTATGAATCGCCTTCCTCCTGAACATGCCAAAGCCATGGAATTCTCAAACAAGCAGTCGGCTCAAGGAAGCAAGCCTGGCGCCATCTTTTCCTTGCTTCACGATGCAACTTGTGCAGTGCCCTCACCAAGATATCAAAGCAGGTGCAGGGTGGGGTGCCTTTCCCTAATCATGACTTATCTCAAGCGCCTGCCTTGTGGGGCCCTCCAAGGGCAATATCTTGGAAACCGCCTCGCAAGCCGCGCAAAACAAAGGGTTTCGGCTATGTGTCAATGTGTGCTTCGCCTTGATGACAAACTCTGAATCCAAGAATTCCCAAATGCCGTCACCTAGGCCAGAACACTATGGACAACGGGCATAGGAGGGTCATTGGGACTGGACTAGAATGGCGGACGAGTCTGGCAGCCAGCAACAGCTACAAAAAGTTGTTTTTTGAAGGTGAGGAATGGCTCGACCATCTTGGACAATTATGTCTCAATGCTTTAGTGCAGGGAGTAACTTACGCAACGGCAGAATTTGATGGGAACGGTCCCGCACCAGATGCCAGACTATACAAACTCCTCTGCAGGCCGGGACCAGCGATTACTGAAGGGATTGAAGTTTGTCCGAATTTCCGAAAGCTTTGAAGTGGCTACGATAGAAGTCAAGGCCACGGTGCATCGCGAATGATAGCATCGGTCACTTGCAAATGTATGCTTAGCAAGGCTGAACCATCTTGGACCACCCAGCAAGCAAAATTTAACAAAGCTTGGGCGTTTGCACCATCTCGCAGGCAAAATCTACGCATGCTAAAACTCAGGCAGAGGCTTCGTACTGCTGGCCTCTCTCCATACCAACCCCTCCCTGTTGAAACACCTATGTTGCTGGCGCAGAAACATGCCGGTGGTTGGGTGCTAAGTACAAGTTCCGGCAAACGGATGTAAGAGTACGGTTTTGAAGGTACGCAAAATTAATTTGGTATCTTTTTTGGGTGGTGTGTTGATGTTTTGTTGTTCTCTTGTTTTTCAGAAAGTCTCATGCGAGAGCTCGGTTTTACATTCAAGAATGCTTAGGCTTAAAAGTCATGAAAAAACATGAAAATTAATAAAAATCAGTTGAAAATGACAAACAAAATCATGAAAATTGTGAAAATGATGAAAAATCATGAACAATGGGGAAAAGTCATGGAAAATCATTGAAAATCGTGAAAATATGAAAAATTGTAAATGGTGCCAAATACAAAAACATGAAATCACGAAAACTGTTGAGAACTGATGACAGATGACGAACAATCATGAGAAATAGTGAAGAATGATGCAAAATCATGGTAAATAGTGCAAGAATGATGAGAAATCATGAGAAGTAATGAAAAAAGAAAATTATGGCAAATCATGGAAACTGCTGAAAGATGATAGAAGATGATGCAACAGAATGTATATGATGAAGAACTGTGACAAATATCAAGAACATAAAAAATGAAGGACACATGATAAAAATCATAGAACAATGATGAAATGGTCTAAAAGGACGAACAGTGGTCAAGCATGGACGGCCTTGACAAAAAGGCGGGGAGGTTGGGGGGCGCGCGGCCTGATTTGCAAACAAAATGATCTGTGGCCATCACTCATGGTGATCACACAGCGCTTCTTTGACACAGCAAGCGTGGATGGTGTTAGCAAAAGGTGTTTGGGCAGTGGGGGCCCCTCCCATGTTAAGATTCATCATTGCAAACATGGTGATGACATGATGCTTCTTTGTTTCGGCAAGCATGGATGGCCTTGATAAAGGCGTGGGGGTTGAGGTGGCGGACACCCTCCCCACCTTGCAAACAACAAGGATAGAGGTGATAAAAGATGATGGAAACTACTGAAAGACTATGAAAACCCATGAAGAGCATGGAAAGATATGAGGAAGGATGGAGAATTTTTCAACAACGTAAAATTGATGAACAGTCATGACAGTGAAAGTTATTCAAAATGATTAAAAAATGGTAGTTGCTCCAAAAAGATGGAAAATATGAAAACGATGAAGAATTGTGACACATGATGGAAAACGGCAAGTACTAAGCAGCAAGAAAGAAACAAGAAGCAAAAAACAACAATCGCAGATAGCAGATAGCAGCAATTGGGAAGCTGAGCGCAGTCAACGAGAACCAGGAAGTTCAAAACAGAGAGCAATGAGAACTCAGAAGATCGCAGGCAGCAAGAAACAGGGAGCAAAAAGCTGACAGCAAAAAAGTTAAAGCAAGAAAGAGAAAAAAGAGAAAAAAGAGAAAGCTAAAAGCAGCAAGCAAGAAACAAGAAGCAACAGGCAGAAAGCTACAAGCAGAAAAGAAAAGCAAAGGCAAAAAGCCAGAAGCGAAAAGCAGAAAGCAAGAAGCAACAAGCAGAAACGCAGCTTCCAATGCAACAGGTGCAGCCGGCAGGCTTGCAAGGATTATGAACGGGCGTTTGCCGCTCTTCACCTGGCGGGTCGTTTTTCGACTTCTGCAAGAACGGATTGGCATGACGAGGCCTCCGCACAGGAGATCTCAGGCGTTGCTATGACCCCACAGTCCTGCACATAGAGGGCACAAGACATGGGACATTGTGATTTCCGCTGGACGTGTAGTCTATGCAATTCACAAGCGTGTCCTTGGCCAATGTATCGCCCAGTGTTCGGGACCTCACCGTTGAGTGCGCCATGTCTCATCACACCATGTCCAACGAAAGCTGGAAGCAGGACGGGCGGATGCTGCTGCAGCATGATTTCCAGGGTGTTGCAGAGACGACCAATAGCGCAGGCGAATGCGATTGCAATGCAAAGCGCTGAACAAAGCAAGGCTTCATACGCAGGTGATACCAAAGTGTCCACCACTGTGGTAAAGCTGATGATGAGGCAGGAAGGCAACACCCATATCAAATATCACAGATAGGGATGGTGTGGGCGCAGGATGGTCTTGACATTGATAACAATTGCCTGGACTCGTGATGCTGATGCTTCTACAATCTTCTCCCTCTGGGAAAGTGACACGACTAACAGTTGTAGCCACGTCACAACAGGAATGAAAATTCGAACGCTCCTGATGCAGATGATGATTTATTGTGCCAAGATGATATCAAACGAGCAGTGGTGATGGTGAGTAAAGCAGGAAGAAGGGAATCAACAGGTATATATAGTAAAAAGCAATTCCGGAATCATTTTCAACATCATCTGCAATATTCTGCAATGTAGCGTTGTAAATCTACCATCTCTCATCGCATAACCAAATTTGTTGCATATCTCAATCATCCCCGAAAGATCATTTTCGTTATCAACATCGGCATCACAAAAAAATAATTCCTTGTCTTCATCGTTAGAAACCTTCATCATTGTCTCAGAACAATGCAAATGAAGTGATTGACGCGTTCGTCGACCTGTTTTTGCAAATTGACAGGAGCCACTGCTTTTTTAAGGTTTTAGACTCGGAGGCCTCTCGAAAGGGTCACTATTTCTGAAGGTTGTAGGGGACTTCCTTTGCAAATGGGAAAGTCTTGCTTTGCGCATTTTGGGTAGGTTTTAGCACGCCTTTAAACCAGCAGGTCCTCAGTCTTCAGTAGAACACGAAATTTTTGTGGGACATGTTGAACACCATGTTGAAGTACATGGTAGGTAACCAACACGCAGTGTAGACGCTCAGGTCACCGTACGTTTCTGGAACAGGAACGTGACTTTGGTTTGGGCATGGATGCTCTGGTCGCTCTATGCTCGTGGAACAAAATTTGGCTTGGCCTGTGGGTGTCTGGAATGAGGTGACCCCTACTCATGGCCAAATCGCGCCGCTTGGCAGCAACAACCCTTAAAAAAAAAAAAACACAATATTATCATCGCCAATAATCGGCCTCCTCTATTCCCCGTCATCACCCATTATTACCCATCACCGCCCATCATTGCTCATCATCACCGATCATCACACATCATCACCCATCAGCACCCATCAGCACCCATCAGCACCCATCAGCACCCATC